GGCTTTTTCAATGTGGCTGTTGGGTGGCGCTGGGGTGGTTATTTCTTTAAACGACTAGCCACCTAGCCTCCGTGAAGAGTCTTTTAGAAAGCAGACCATTTTCTGACGTTCTATTTTCTGTAACTGCTATTGAAGAGGAGTAAAGCCAAGCCAGCTCTTATAGAGCACTTTCAACCCAGGACAAGTGGTTTTCTGTGTTTCTGTCACACTTTTACAGTAAGGCCATTCACTACTCAGAACCAAGAAGATAACAAGGCACGCTTATTTAATAGTCTCTATTTGCTCTTCTATTTTGTTCAGTCATTAAATGGTGTTGGAATTGAGAATTAGGACTCTCTTTCCTCGCCAAATGAAAACACAAGTGACTTGTTGACTACAAGATTTACTCCCACAGATACTTCCAGAGTAATATGAAATCCAGGCCAAGTATCCACTGAACAGAGCCAGTGGCATATGCCCTGGCCTTTTTTTTCCCCTGAATGCAGGCTCCACGGCTACCACTTCATGCCCAGGACATCATAAATCACTTCTAATTTATGAAGCGCCCAGCCAGTCGTGTGCTACACCCTGCTAGCCGCTGGTGTCTGTCCTCTGCACACTATGGGCTCCCTTCTTCAGTGCATACAGAGCCTTTTTTCAGAAGATCCATAGGACAGAAAGCCGAGAATTTTCCCTTAGACCTTCTCAGCCAAAGAGTAAAGGAGGGAGAAGACAGAAAGCTCTTGTTCCTTAAAGTTTTCCACAAGCCACCCTTGCGAACTCCGAAACGGGAGGTTGGGAAGGGACAGAAAGTGAGACCGTTATAGTTCCTAGCCTATTTTCTTTTATTCACTTATTTAACAGATACACGTATATTCGGGGTGCCAGTAACCTGCGTACGAGTCACTACTGGAGACACAGCAGTAAGCAGAGTTTTGGTTCTCTGAGAATATACTTATACGTGTCAGAGGATGACACATTTTGCAAGGAAATAAGATGGATAAAGATGAGAAGGGGAGGTAGCAATTCAGGTATACCTTGAAAGGTTTCTAATAAGGGGACCTTTGAGCAGAACTTGAAGGCCATGATGGAGTGAGTCAAGCTGGGGAAATAGTCTCTTGGTAAAGACAGAGGCCACCATGAAGAGGCATGCCTGGGGAAAGAGGGGACAGCAGGGACTGGAGGAACTAGAGGGAAATAGCCAGGAAGGGGTGGTTGGGAGACAGGCAGGTGGGAGAAGGGATATCCTCGGGAGGCTGCCTTAGTGACCCATGCTGAGGAGTTGAGATGCTGTTCAAACTGAGGTGGACAGCGGCTGGGAGTTTGGGGAAGATTGATCCTTTTCCAACACTTGAGAAACTGGAGTGTTAGCTTGAAGTCAGGAACATGGGGATCATGCTTCCTTCACTTTCAGAGAGAATCCAAATTAGCATTGTCGTAATCAGGATTGAAATGTCAAAGCATTAATTCATCCAGTGCAGAATAAGAATCAGAAACCATGATTCTGCTTGATCCCAATATAAGAATCGCTCATGCTTTTTCAATTAGGAGAGAAGAGAGTAACTCTGAGCCATTTATTTACTCAACAAGTGACGGTCCTTTTCCTGGAGAGAGACTGCTACTACATCTAGTGACCTGCAGCCCTCAACTCTCTTCCCTGGCAATATTTTGTTTATGCTACAGCTGAGGGGACCCCCACTCATATTATTAAGGTAGCTGTGCAGATTGGAATGAGCTTCAAAGTCAAACAGCAGCTGCTGCAATTCCTAGGACCACAAACAACTTCTAAATAGTCTAGAGCTACCAAAAACCTGTGTTTGATTAATGTGCAGAAGTTACAGAGAATTAAGATTTAGATATCTCATGGGGAACAACTCCCTAAAAATGAGGGTGATCCATAACTGAACTGGACATTGAGGGAAAGTCAGCATCCTGCCCCTGAAGATTTGAGAGCAGGTGAGCACACGTCAGAAACGTTCCTGAGATACCCCTGTCTTCTGAGGCACGTTGAACTAGAATGACCTCCCAGATTCGTTCCAATGTAGAACCCGTCAAAGTGCCCAGTGAATGTGCTCTGCAAACACACAGACACTATATAAACATAGGGCAAATATTTTAAAAGGTGAAGAATGAGATACTTGTACTTCAGGGAGAGCAGGGGTTGGAATTTTGTGCCCAACAACATACCTTCCAGGCTCAGTGGGCTCCAGTTTGTTCTCATTGGCCCTGTACACAGTTATCTGCATTATGTGTTAAAAATGCTTTCAGCCAGAAACCAAACAAATAGCCAACGGCATTTTCCTATCAGGGCCTGTTTATAGGAGGTAGAGCAGAAGAACAAAGCTGTTGCTTTTGATTGCTGGCAGGAAGCCAACCAACGCTGCTGCCTCAAAGCTCCAGGATTTATGTAGAAAAAAAGGGAGGATTTTCTTTTTCTTTCTTTCTTTTCTTTTTTTTTAATAAAGCAAAGATTAAGTTAGAATTAAAGCAAGAGAAAACCCAAAATTCAAACTAAAAAATCCTCTGGGATCCATAACAGAAAGGCAGAAATGTAAACAAAATACGTTCCAGGCTATGAGGTGAGTTTTTGGTGTAAGAATGAAAGTTTTCTATGGTGCCCATAGCAGAGATTACAGAATGGCCTTCATTCATGATACAAGCTCACATGACATCTAAGCTGGACGATTTGTCCTTAGTGGTCATTGACTCTTGTCCCTCGTTTTACAGATCATGAATTAGAGGCCCTGGAAATTGAAGTGACTGCCCAAGGTCACCCAACTTGTTGCAGAAGTTCTGGGACTAGCATCCAGAACTTCTGATAACTGCACTGTGTTTTAGGTGACTTTACTGACTTTCCTGAGCAGAGGGTGGATGAAGATAAGAAAGACAGCAAGAGTGGCTGCATTTGGATTTGGCAGTGTGTTAGGGTTGCCAGAATGTGACCGACCCTGGGACCAGCAGCACATGCTGCTGCAGTTGCCACCCCCAGCCACAAGTTTAGGGCAGAACAGCCGGGAGGTTCTGGCCCATCCCAGGAATGGGGGCTGAGACACCTGTTGCAAGAGGTCTCTAGAATCGTGCCGCCCTCAGATCCCAGGCGAGCCTGAATGGGCGTGGGCAATTTTTGGAAGGCTGCAGTGTCTGGGGTTCTTCTAAACTACCTGCAAAATCTCAGCAATGCTCCACCTGTCATTGTGGGTGCTGTAGTGTGGCTTCCTGCACTGATAAGTGTTCTCTCCTTTTAGACAAGAGTCTGAGCAAATTGAAACTGCATTTCAACAGCAGCACTCTTTGTATCAGAAAGAAAGCCAGTGGAAGAATCCCTCGCCTCCTGCCCTATTAACTTTGTCCTTTGAAATCATCAACCTTTGAGTGAGCTGTGGTTAGTTGCTTCTGGAAGAGAGGGTAGGGAACCGGGTGGGTGAGTAACCTAAAGGAAGAGAAGGGAAGCTTTGATGTATGTCTCCTCGAAAATAATGTGCTCATTGTCATTCTTTTGATTCTATCCAAAATATGTTTGACAGGACTTACAATAAGGACCATAGACACTATACATATAAATGAAGTCAGAGAGCGGGGAAGGAGAAAACATGAATTGGCATGTGGAACCAGGGGTAAATCTCAAGTTCTATCAGAACTTTCTAGAAACCAGGATAAAAAAGAAACACACAACTGCTGGCTATCAGAAAGGGGAACAAATCCAATTTCTTCAAGAGAGACTAAGTGTTGCTATTCTGGGGCTCATGCCATTAGTAAACACTTAGGGAGACTTTCATGTACTTGATACTAAGCTTACTGCTCAGGGCATGTCTGCCCTCCCCTCTCTCCCATCAGTGTCCTTGCTTCAGGCCCCCTGGAGCACAGGAGAAAACATGTTTTTAGTGTATCACATGCTCTTTTTGTGTTTGTCAAGGCAAGTCTGAGGGTAATGGACTTTAGTTTGCCTTTGGTTCAGCTGAAATTGTGTTGTCCAGAGTAGTTCTGGGATTTGCAGATTATAAAACCAGGAATGGGAATCTTATGGAAGTCAGATTTTAAGGCTTCCTGGGCTGCCCAGTCTCTCCCAACATACCTTTCTTTCTCCTCAAAGTGTCCCTTACCTTGCCCTTTTCTGCTGTGACAAGGTACTTTTTTGAACAAAGCATCTGGAGGGAATAGAGTTTTTCAGAACACACTTCAGGGGGAAGTTGACTCAGGATTGGTAGGTAATGTGACTTTGTCCCTGAAACCAGGATAGGGAGCTAATGGTTCCATAGACATTGTAGGATACAGAAACCAAAATTATGCACATACAAGGTGAGCACTATGGATGTCCTGCCCCCGTGCCCTTGAGCTCCACTCCGAAGTTGTGCCAGGAATACAGATCCCTTCCAAAAGATGGAAGACTTGGTGTTATGACGGTGTCCCCCCATGTGCCTATGAAAGCTGACAATTCTTAACACCCTTCTCTACCTTCCTAAGACTTGGGTTAGTCATACCAGAAGCCCCTGGAATTTGTGAATATAGGAGTGCAAAGAGTTACAAAAGTGCAAGTCGCTTTCTCTCATAGATGGTATGAGAGAAAACTCTAGAAATGTCTTCCCTTCTCACTGCGGTTCTGATGAGTTACCTGAATGTCTACTGGAAGTTTGTGGTTTGTTGTTTTTAAAAGCAAACATAGGTATCCTCTTCATAACTATATATCCATAAAAGCACATGTGTTGAAACGACTCATTACTAAAAGAAGCAATTTCAAAGCACGAAGTGGCCTCTATCTCTGTAGTTGGTATGGAATATTGTGTCTGGATCCTTAGCCACAGATTACCATTTGAAAGACCAGGGATGGTGGCTGGGCTAAAGATCATGATGCGGAGTCATTTGTCTTTGTCCTGAGTTGGTTCAGCTCCAGTCATACCTTTTGCGGGGCTGGGGTTGAAGCCCTCATGGGAACAGAATGAGTGTATTCAATTCTACTTGGAATGATGTTCATAATTATTTTAAGCAATGACTTGATTCTTACTTGTGCTTATTCTTTTCAAAAGTATTAGAGAGGAAGATATCCACAAGACAAAGTAGAGAGGAGCTGATAAGAAGGGGCGTGCTTAAGGAGTTGCCTGATCAAGGTGAGGACATTAACCATACCTTTAAAATAACTGACCCTTCATCCTCTGGTCCTTCTTTCATAGTCTCTTGAAATTTAAAATGATCATGCTCTGTGTCGGATAAAGCAGCAAGTAATGCTGCAAGAGTCTGCTCTGATTTGGAATGCCTTTGTGGGCAGCAGAGAATCTGAGGTAGTATAGAAAAGAAATCCAGTGACTTTTTTAGTGAATACTTCACTGCAGGTCACTCTGAACCCAAAACTCGGCCCAGGTGCATCAGTGGCTCGGGATGCAGATAAAAATACAATGCTTTCATGACTCCTTCTCTTCTCTGTTCTTGAACTTGAGACTTTCTCTCAAGTTAAACTCGATTGCTTGAGTTAATGCAGTTTTAGCTTCTTCATGCCTTATTTGTTTCTTAGGACTATCAATAAAAGAAGAGATAGCAAACATGCCTCTTGTTTTTTACTCTTTGTGTTATGTTGAAATGTGCAATCAATAAGGCATGAATGGGCAAATTCACCTGCTTTATCCTTTCTTTCAAGTAATTTCTTTAGTATTGTTCTCTTTTCATTTCTAGTTGCCTCTCACCTTGTCGCTAACAATGCTATTTCCAGTTTTGGGTTTTTTTTCCCCTTTTCTTTTAACCTTCTTTCTGTTTTTCCTCTATCCTCCCAAAGAGGAATCATGCTAAAAAAAAAAAAAAAAAAAAAGTTAAGGATTAGATAGAAACTGAGTTTGACTCTATAAGAGAAGACACCAGCATTGGTTATTTCCCCAAATAATTCATACTGAGTGACTCTCTTTGTTCCTACTACTAGTAAAACTGGAAGACATTTGCTGCAACTTTGTTGAATTATTTCTTACCTCCCCCTTCTCTTGGAGAGGTAGAGTATTATCAATGAACTTCTATGGGAACAAATAACATAATATTTATTTGGAATCAAAATAATAGTATTTCTCTTTTTTCCTGATAAATGTTCCTTTGCAAAGAACTTAACATTTTTTAGCATTTGCTATACAAATATAAATGACATGTTTTTTCCAACATCCGAATAATTCCAAAATGGAGCTGGGAAATGCTTTACTGTTTTACTCCTCCTCTTAAAAAAAGAAAAAAAGTGGTGGTGGTGGGGAATCAAGAGTGAATAGCTCCATTTTTACTAAGCCCTTACAATTTGGATATTTTATTTCAATTTCTGACCTGTCAAACTTTTCTCACTCTATAAATGAACATTATGTCTTCCCCAATTTTCTGTTACCTTGAAGCTATTTATTTCCTGTCTGGGACTTTTAAAAATAATAATTAAAAAAAATGCACATCCTTAGCCTTTTTAATTTGAAGGTAGACACACAATATCAAAATTCATGTCATGTCCAGCCCCTCTGCAGCCAGTAGAGAAATTCAGTGGCCACCGAGAGCTGCAGACTGACCATCAGAGTTACAAATTGACTATGAATTTGGTATTTTTTATTTGAAAATATTTTTTAAAAAGGGAAAAAAGCGAAATTTATGACTTTAATTTTTTTTCCAATTAAAAGTTGTAGGAAGAAAAGATTTTGCTTTTTCTGCAATCAAGTAGCAATGGTCAATTTAAAGAAATGCTTAGTACTCTTGGTTTTATTCTGCCTAATCTGTTAAATGATTTGCAGCACAAGTTAAAAGTTCTTGGATTAACATGCACTTATTTCCCAGAAATCTGACTCTATTCGACCTTTTTTCACATGTGTATATTGCTGAATATTAGAAGTTTTTAAATATTAATGAACGAGACAATTTTTAACCTAAACATAAGAAACTTACTGAATTTTGTTTCCCATCTTTTGCCTGGTCCCTGTATAGAACTATAAAAATTATCTAATATTTGAAAGTTCCCAGGGGTGCCCATCGGAAATAGAGCTCTTCCCCCTTTCAGTCAAAGGATGGAGAAAAGAGTTTTCTGTCATTTTCCTAAAAAACAATTATCTTGAGAATTTCAGTCTGAGAGACTAGAAGCTGCGTTTCTGGTGACAGCCTCTTCGCCTCAGCCAGTGAAGATTCATTCTTGGCCTTGATCTTCTTGACCTTCCCATAGCTCTTGACAGTGCCTGTCAATTATGCCTTTTATTACACGGGCCAGCTAGACTTTTCAAGTCCCTCCAGCTGCCCTGGGTGTGACCCCGTCCCATCCTGTCCCATACCTCACTCTCAGCTATTATTATTATTCCCTTTAGATTGTCTTACTTTACACCAAGTTATAACTTCACTCTGAAAGTTCGACAGTTAATCTCCTCTCCTGAGAAGCCTGTGTGTGGTCTAGTCCAGGTTTAGTCCCTAATTCTGGTTCTTTCCTTCCATCTTTTCCCTAGAGGGCACTTTTGCCATCCTCCTTTCCTCTCTGCTGGTGTGGCTTCCCCCTGGTGATGAGCCACCTACCTTTGGTCATACATGATTCCCTTCTCCTGTTCCTCCTTTAACTCTACCTGCTATGCCTCTGTTTACCAGAAAGCGGTAAACCTCTTCAAACACTCTTATGCTCTTATAGAACGGTTGGTTTCTGTTTATGCTTTATGTTTCTTTTTGCTTGAAGCTCAGTGATATTTCTGAGTTCTGGCTCCTTTGCATATGAACGCCCCGGCTTCTCAACCTCTGCTTGCCTCAGCATCGCCCAGCCCCTTCCTTGGCTTAGCTAAGAGACAGGCTCCATGTCAAGGATTTCATTTTATTTTAATGCTGAAACGACTTTTGTAAGACACAGCACTAGAAAAGCTTTTCAGTCCGAGAACTAATAGATTAGTATCTTCAGTTCTTTTATGTTTTAGTCTTCAATTCCATATTTATTGCAACCATGTCTCTTTTTTTTAAAGTTATTTTTATATGCACTAGTTTTATTTTATGCCTCAAAGTAAGTATCTTCCCATGTTGTTGACTATTTTCATCATGTGATAATCCAATTTCTTCATATGACAAACCTAATTTTCTCTCTAGCTTTTTTTGTTCTAATTTTTTTCAATAATCAGTTATTTAACCTATTGAAGAGTATTCATATAATTGCTTAAAATTGTCATTAACGTGATTCTAATGTCTATTTATTACCAACTAAAGTCAAGGAATACACACATAAATTTATTTGCTTTTTTAAATTTTTTTTAAATCCGAAGATTTTTTTAATTTTTAATTTTTTTTAGGTGTAAATAGATGCAATGCCTTTATTTTACTTATTTATTTAATTTATGTGGTGCTGAGGATCGAACCCAGTGCCTCACACGCGCTAGGCAAGTGCTCTATCACTAAGCCACAATTGCAGCCTAATCTGAAGATTTTTATACAAAGAAGTGGTTTTATATTGTACTTGAAATTGTCTATCCCCAACCCCTTTAGTATTTTTTTATATTTTTATATATTATATAATATATTTTTTTATTTTTGTTTTTATGTTATTTTAAATTTGGTTTTTAAATTTTTTATTTTTATATTTTATATCTCATTGGAATTGTCTATCCCCAGCCCTTTTTATATTTTATTTTAAGACAGAGTCTCACTAAGTTACTTAGAGCCTCACTAAGTTGCTGAGGCTGGCTTTGAACCTGCCATCCTTCAGCCTCAGCCTCCGGATCCCCTGGGAATACAGGCATGTTCCACTGCCCCTGGCTAAAATTGTCTATTCTTACATCATTTTAATTTTATCTGGGCATATTGTAACCCACCCTCTTCTTTTATAGCTAATTGCTTACCTTAATTTTATTGAAATAGGATTTACTGGCAGTGGCATTTCCTTTAATGATTGTCTATTTTAGTTTTATGCAGAAATCAGATTATAGGTTCTTAGTAGTTTACTTGACTAAACAACAGTTGCTTTTCATTTTGAGCATGACATAATTCCACGATATTTATTTTTTACTGGTCATGCCTTTTTTTTGTTGTTGTTAAGAAGGCCAATGAATTTTATTGTTGAATCAAAGCAAAGAAAACTTGGGAAATGTTTTCTGTTTTATAATGACTGTTAAAATAAAATTAATAAACAACTGTATAAAACCACCTCTAATCACGCATTTCTTCAACTTACTGTATCAAACTTTAATTCACTGATTTTTATTTTACAATGATAGTGCCATTTTTCCATAGATGGAGTAAGGGTAATCTTTCAAGCATCACTAATTAGAAGTTTCTACAAGATCCCTTTTACTTTAGAAAATCTCAGGAATTATCGAAGTCCATGATTAAAATTAGTTATTTATGATTTAGATAATACATTGGACGTTTTATTATAAGCTATGATTTTAGAAAATTCCTCTGTAATTGTTTTTTTCCAATGTATGTTTTTTCGACTAATGTTTTCTAGTTATTATTAGGCTACCTTATGGACTTTTGGGTAATTCTATATAGCAATCACCTGAGTACATTTTAATCTTTCCTTAAATAAGACAATGAAAATAAACTTAGCTGTGCTACCATTGTCCCCCTGAAAAAACAGACTGGCAGATACATTACTGTGTGAAGTTAATACACCGCATATGTAATACATTCTGCAGACAGTGGTGCTTGGAAACTTTCCTGTTCCACCTCTAATTGTTTGTATGTGTAATTACATTTCATGTTATTTGTGTATTTGCATACACCTTGTGTTTTTGGTGCATGTTAAAATGTTTATTTCATTTTTCAGATCATTCCTTTCACCATTCAATTTCTGGATGACAAAGAAAAACACATAAATATTGACTTCAACAAAACCTAAGCACAAGAACACAGGAACTCTACTGCCCTGGGGTATTGTGCAATTAGGATAATCAGTCCCACTGCCTTGAAATGGCACATGAATTTTCCCTCCTTAGCTGCTTTCTCTCAAGACTAAGGATTTTCTAGCTCTTTCATTGTAGATAAATTATTTAATGAAATGGTGATTCGGCTCCAGGGATAGAAACACGAACTCAGATCCTACTATCCTGGTAACTGGGAAGCTGGATTTTAAGAAAGCCATCAAGTTAGACATCTAGGTGTTTCTTTCCCATTTTAGATGGAGATGTAACAGTTAACTTTGAAAATTCAAACGGGCACATGATACCCATCGGAGAGGAATCTACCCGAGAGGAGAATGTAGGGAAGTCTGAAGAAGGTAATGGCTCTGTATCTGAGAAATCACCACCTCGGGAGGAAAAGGCAGAAGATAAGAAAGGTAAAATAAAGAGAAAAACCTGTATTATTTCCTTTAGCTCAATGTCAAGAAGCAGGTCTCAGTCTCCAAATAGTGACCTAAAACCAGTGGTCCACAAAGAGGAAGTCTGAAATATAAAGAAGAGAGAAATGATAATTAGGGGGCAAGAAATAGGGTAACATCCTCAGGTGGATGCTTCCATTTCATATGGCATTGTTTGTTTTTTTATTATTAAAGAGGATCAATTAAAGGTAATCAGAAAAGGTGGACTCTTCAAGCATTAGGATGTCTGAAAATATTCTCCTTTTTCTAAGATTTTTTCTTTAGGATCTTAAAAAAAATGAGATATTGGAACATCTTTCTCACCTGGTTTTAACTGGGCCCTGTGAAGAGCTCTGCATGGAGGAACACCAAAACCCGCATGGCTCCCTCGAGCTGGCACTCCCTCTCCAAGAGTGGGACTTAGTAGGTGGCATCAGTAGACCCAATGTTGTAGGTTTTAGACATTTCTAAGAGAAACCCAGGAATGGTCCCCAGAAAACTGATTATTGCAGTCTCTGCTTTGTGATTGATCTGTGCAAATACAATTTCAAAATGTGTTAGAGGCAATGATACTATTCCCCTGAAGTCTTCTTTAGAGGCCATGGTTTCTAGAGTGAATCTGCTGTGTTGGTTACAGATATCTGTGACATGCAGGTCTATCGTGTACCCCCAGAACCTTCACAAATTCCTTGTTGTGGGTTGATTACATCTCGATACCAATGGAATTACATGCAAGAGCCCCCACACTGCAGACTTAGACAAACCTTGAGCTGAACATCCCTACAAGGAGAGGTTTTACTGGGAGAGACTAGATGATTCCCTATGGCACAGAAAGGAATTCTCAGAAAACAGACTATTTTCTGTTCTGTAAGGTGTACCTCTGCATTGAACAGCCGAAACTTGTCAAAACCTCATTTGCATTCTGTAGACATTTTGAGTATTCCTAGAAATTGATGAGAGTGAACTTCTCTTCCTCTGTTTTTGACCCAAATTGTCCAAAGACAAAGGGAATAAAAGGGCTTTTGATGGCTTTATTAAACAGACTAGGTAGCTTGACACCATCTTCTCTGGAAGTCCACAACCACTTTATTTGCACATACATTAGTCTTTTAAAAAAGCTTTAAAAGCCTCTGTTAATGATCTATTGGAAATTTATTATTTTGCTTTCTTCAAATCTGAAGCATAGTATTCCTGGGGCTTTACTTGCTCCATGGAAGAACTCCAGTTGTGTTTATGAGCACTGGCTATAAGAAATTAAGACTTTCAACGATAACACTTCTGGAACATAAAGATAAAGTAGACTTAAAATTGAAAGGAATTTAGTTTATGCATGAAAGTAGTGATTTTGTTGGTTTGTTGTTAAGTCCAGTTGTCCCATCTCACCAAACTGTTAAATTTCAAATTCATCTGTGCTTTCTCCCTGGTCCATACGGGTGTCAGTGTCATTCACTGACTGGCCAGACTTCAAAGGAAGTGTTTTCCTTATCAACCTAATAAAAAGTTGCTGACAGATTTATGCTAGTTAAACCAGCAGGCCTTGATGTTCTAAAAAGATGACAGATCATAGTTCCAGGAATGGTGGAGAGATGTTTTTGTTTTCTTATTCTTTACTTCAAATCAGTACATTCTGTTCTTTCTGGTCAATAAGGTTCAGGTTAGCATCTTACTTGGCTAGTCTGTACATAAGGAGGTGGACATGCCAGCTTCTGGCATGGCACTCTAAGACTACAGAGTGAATCTGCTGTGTTGGTTACAGATATCTATGACATGCATGATATCTGCCATGCTGATAATGAAGAGTGTTAGGTATGGAAGCCACTTCCTGAGACTGAAATGAATGACACTCAAAATTAATATTTTGTGAGAATTATGTGAAGTAGAAAGTGTCTTAAGACAAAGACAAGACTTTATTTCTCTAGAAAGATACCATTAATTCTGAAAACCAACTCGATTCACTTATGCCTCTGCCCCTATTTTGGAGTTTCTCCTTGTGTGAGCTCACTACCACACAAACCCACCATCCCATGAGCTAACTCCTCCTCACTGTTGGGATGCAGTGTTCCCCCTCCAGTGTCATGCCCGCTCACTCAAGAGCATTGCTTCATCTATTAATTGGTTATATCTGCAAAAAACATATCACATGCCTTTAAAATCCCAGATGTTTATTGCATCTTTTTATAAAACAATATCTCAATACTTTAATATTTGAAGCCTCAATAACAAAGAAAGCAGAGCAGGTTCTACCAAGCCATGTGAGTGTATCTGGGGCTGTTGAAACTGCCTGATTCTGTAGTTGGCACAGTGGTGTTAGGCCTCCTTTCCCTGAGGCTGGAGACTTCTTTAAGGTCTTTCGGTTAAACACAACGTAGTGTGAGAAACCTGAAAATTGTTTAACATTATTTCTATTGAGTTACTGTAAAGGGCTTTATATATCTTCTTGACTAAGAAGATATAAAAAGAATAATGAAGATGAGACTGTAGGGGCCAGGAAAAGGTCAGTATATGAAAAATGGCCTTTGCCCTCCAGCTGATCATGATACAAGAGGAGAGCAGACTGCACACAGGTAATTGCAAAACAAGATACAAAGAACCGTGAAAGGCCCCAGTCCACCAAGACAGGGGAGTAGAGACCAAGACGGCTTCTCTGAGGTACAAACTTACCTTCCACAGTAAGACCCCAAGGAGTCAGGAAGGGGGTGAAGGAAAGGAATTGGAGCCAAAATGCATTCTAGGCCAGGTGCAGAGCGCACCCAGTTCTGGGCCTGCTCTAAGTGTTGTTGAACTCAGCTTTCCACGTGCCTCCAGCTTATCTTCCAGACTGTGTTGTTGTGAAACCTCATGTCCTCATGAAGCCAGAGTGAGCAGGCAGCTCTTTCTTAACCTCCTGTAAAGATAATACTCCTGAACTCCATCAGTTTACATAGTGTCTTCAGATCATATGGTAATCCTAAAACACACAACTTAATTCATTACCTCCCACATGCAAGAATCTGTTTGCTATTGATGGCGTGACAGCAACGATCAGCTTGTTAGTCACATTTATTGAACTGATGATTTTTAGGGCATTGTGTTTGATGGGATACAGAATTTCAGAAAAGAGACATTTTTCATTTAGTCAGAAAAAATATACTATTGTGAGTGCATGTCACACACACATACACACAACTAGGAGTCACCAGAGTGGCAGACACTCGCCGATGACGATACAGTTCAAAGACTAGAGCGTGGTCCATGTTTTCCAAGAAGCCAGCACAGAGTTTGTGTGCAGCGTGTTCCTTTTTTCCCCAGTGGGGACATTACTGACTGCCACACAGCAAGCATCTATTCCCTCCCAAATGCAAAAGCCGAATTCCTTGGAGAATTTTATTTTATTTGTGGTGCTGGGAATTGAACCCAGGGCCTCACATGTGCTAAGCACATGCTCTACCACTGAGCGACACCCCCAGCCCATCATTGGGGTATAATTTTAGAATTTAAAACCTTAAACCGAAAGAAAAAAGATCCCTCAGTGATATGCCATGACTGGAAAGGATAAGAGGCAGGGCTTTGAGTGTGAAAAAAGGACTAATAACACGAAATGCCGCAGATCGGTTTGCTCTTCCCACCGCCAATATCATGGGGTTTGGCCTCCACGCTTGGTATTGTGCTTAGGGCTAAAACTGCAAAGACATACTTAAAGAATAGATTTCTGCCCTTTGTCAAAAGACTGGCAAGTCGACGTATGTTTGCTATTTTACATTCACATTCAGTGTGTTACCCGCGTATACACTTGTATCATTCTCCAGTCCAGTGGGCTTTTGTGACTAACTGACCTTGTGGTTCAGACCAGGCTGGAGTGGAGGGAGAACACTGTATTATAAATGATCAGCAGCTTAGTTGAGAAGATATATAAACTTGAAGACGTACCAAGTGGCCTCTGCTGAGTGTTGAATGAGTCGCTCCTACAGTGAGGCTGAATAAGTACGGTGGCAGGAGAGATTGGCGGGGGAGGATTTCATGGCTGAGGCAGGATAAAATGGAGCTTTAAAAGAAAGGTCTTATTGATAAGTTTCTGTAACTTAAATCATTATCATGGGAGATATATAGGTGACTCAATGAAAGATATGGTTTAAAAAGAAATAAAAATGCTCACTAGAATAAGAAACGAGGAAGAAAAAGGAATTTGTAAAATGTAACATGTGCCAGCATTAAAATCCTTACTTGGTCACTCAAAAATGGGAAGACATATCCAGGAAAGGCTGAGTCTTGTCTTAACGCACTGTCTTGTGTTTTTTATTGTGCTCCATTTTTAAAGAAATGCTGCTTGGTTCTTTGGACCAGAACTGTATTTTAATTTCAGTTGGTCACTACTAGAAGTCTACATGTGACTAAATGAATAAAAAGCCTCAGCATCTCCACTTTTGCTAACAAGAAACTGATAGTATTTCTCCTCCAGTTGTGCAAAACCTTGTGGAGGCTTCTGTTCTTAGGTATGAATTCTTTCTGTGAATTGTAACATTTGTCTTTTCCAAATCATTGTTTATGTTTATAATACAGAGCAAAGTTCATATTTTTTTGGATTCTGCACTCAGGTACCTACAGCTGTGGCATTAAGTTAAAAGGGCAGAGCAAATTATTGCAAAACAGGAAGCTTCCTCAGTATGCTGGGAAAGCTTGAGAACATCTTCATAGTGGAAAATAGTTCATCGTTCCACACACTGTGCACCATGTCATAGATCCTTCAGTCTACCATAGCTTAGAAAATCAGCAACATTTTATTGCACTTCTACCAAGCACAAATCCCTTTTATCTTGATCAGGCTTGAGTCCAGTAGTTGCTGCTGCTGTCAATCCGTCCTCATCTGCGGGACAGTGTGTGTAATATGCTCTCCTGTCACTCTTGAGGGTCCTTCAATTTTGCTAAATTGTTCAATTTGTTGGAGTTAGCACTCAGTGTCCACGTCCTCATCCAGAACCACAGATCCAAGACTGGAATTGGGGCATCTGTCTTGTGGACATTTACACTCCTTCTCAACATACCTTTATCCCAGTAACTTATGTCTCATAGTTTTATCAAAGGAGTGGTTGATGTATGCAGAGAACACATCTCCGTTTGTCCTTCAGCCTTTGTTTTTAAACCAAACTTTGCTCTCCCTGGTGCAGAGCTCCACCTGGTTCCCAAGGGCCAAGCAGCTGTGTGTGTGTATCCCTGTCGCCATGTCTTGCTCCTAGTATTTATATGGTGTATGTCTGCATCAGTCTGCTCTGTTCACTTTCATTTATAGAGAACACTGAAAACCACTCTGAAACACCGGCAGCTCCTGATCCACCTCCTTCAGCTCCTCCTAAGCCTAAACCCAAACCTAAACCCCCCAAATCACCTGTGCCTCCCAAAGGGGCCACTTCTGGGGCCAGACACAAAGGTGACGAAGTGCCTCCCATTAAAAAAAATGCCAAGGCTCCTGGTAAGCAGGCCCCCGTCCCTCCACCCAAGCCAACAAGCCGAAACACGACCAGAGAGGCCGGTGAGTATGCCCTCAGTGCACTGCGGGGTGGAGTCCAGGATGCCTGGCTCTGGGGTGGGGCTAATTGTTTCTTCCAGAAGTGATGGTTTGGGGGTTTCTCAGGATGTTATACCAGTGGATTCAGCTCTGCCACAAAGACTGCTCAAGAGTGTTGTTTGTATCAAAGACAACAAGTTGATTAGTTCTCCCTTTTAGGATCTGGGTAAATATGCCTCATTCATCTTGGTATCCACTACCATCACACGAGACCCAGTCCAAGATTTCAGGGAGTAGGATACGTGTCCAATGAGTGATGATGAGCTGATATGACATTATTTAGGTATCGACTGATCTTGTGCCTATTAAAGTTGATGGGTGGCTTTTGGTTAGAGTTTTCTTCCAAAATATGTCAGGTTTGCATATAAGAATATGACATACATCTTTAACGTTTGATGGATGTGTTAAATCCTCAGCATTCATGGTCATTTCTCTTCTGATAAAGAACAAATGGTCCAAATAGTTGGTTCAGCTCCTGCCCACTTCTTTCTACTCCAGTCAAAAATCACATCTGTGGAGTTGCAAGTTACAGGCTCAGCGCTCCCTGCTCCCCCACCCCTCCACCCTCCCCCACCCCGGTCAGTAGACCTCAATTCGTTGTGAGGCAAGCACCTTGGTGTGGCATTGTTTCAAGTTGCTATCACACATCGCCAACAGACGTTTGGGTGCCCTGACTTCCTTCTCTTTGTGCACTCTTTGTCCAGCTTTCTTTTCACTGAACATGCTTCCTGCAAAGGGAGCTCCCATTCTTCTAGTGAAACAGAATTAAGATGCCTACCATGTGGTCTAGCTTTTAAAGGGACATTAATCGAAGTGAACATGCACCGAGAACATCAACATGTAAATAAAAATTCTCCTGTACAATCTCTTTTTCCTTAAAACTAGCAGCAGCTTTCTAGCAATTGACTGCTGCCATATGCCGTGGTGTTGATCTCTTTCCCCTCCTAATTTATACCCGCTGAACTCAAATTCAGAGACTGGCTGAGTTGACTGTACAAACAGCTCTGGGTTCCTCTCTTCTCGCCTTTGACCCTAAGGTCTGGGTGTCTTCTAATCAGCTCTGAAACGAAACAGCTCAGAACCATGTGCCAACAGTGCGTAAGGGCCATTTCCCAGGGGTCTGGACGTCAGTGTTCATGCTTGTTGGTGTCAGTGTGTTTTTTCCCAGGCTGCCTCGTGAAGCCTCGGAACTGTGCCCGAAGTCGGGTGGGCACTGGTCAATCTCCTGAAGAAAAGCTCCACACTCTCATTCTACCTTTGGGAATGAAGAGTCTGATTCCCCACTTCCTCGTTTTCCTTATGGTGAGGGTTCACTGTGGCTGGGACTCTCAGAAGAAAGCCCATGATGAATGCAAGGGCAGGGGACAGCTTTCGTGACAGATTTGAAGTTATTTCCAGATATTTTACTTGAAGATTTATTTATAGACTCATGAGGTCCCTATGAGAATAGTACAGTCATTTTATCCATTGAATCATATATAAGACGGGCAGGCCCTTATACCAATAAGAATGCGACTGTTCCCAGGGCTGTCACAGAGAAACGGTTTGCACTGAAGGACACTAAGGCCATGTGCAAAGATCCGTCTATCAATCAGTAATAATACTTCTTCAGAGTCCTAGGATATTCAGGGTGTATCCATTTGGAATTTTCTGCCTGGTAACTTTGTTTTATTTAAATAATGTTGACCTCAAAAAGTCAGTTCAAACATGCAGCTCTTAATTTTTTTTTTTTTAAACTGGGGATTGAACTCAGGGACACTCGACCACTGAGCCACATCCCCAGCCTTATTTTGTATTTCATTTAGAGACAGCATCTCACTGAGTTGCTTAGCACTTTGCCTTTTCTAAGGCTGGATTTAGAACTCACAATCCTCCTGACTCAGCCTCCTCAGCCATTGGATTACAGGCTTGTACTACAGACCTGGCATAGCTCTTGATTTTCTTTCAGATGTTTTCAATTCTTAAATCATACAGCCACCTATCTATATAGATGGTTCAGGTGCTTTACCACGAAAGTGAAGATAAGGCTCCCTTTTTTGTTTCTCATTGTTACACACGATTAGCAACAAAAGTTATTAACTGAAAGATGGTACTTCTTTTTCAATCATAGTTGGTTTCAGCAAAGTCCTGTCGTGTACAAGCTTCTTAAAGAAAAACATAATATGGCCTGAATTTGCACTCCAGATGTTGAAATTTTTTTTTCCATGAGACAGGCTAAAGTTAAACTTTTCTGTTAGAAATGAAAGAATTTTTCCCAGAAATATGACTAGAAGTGATATTCTTAGAATGGATTTGGAAGGGATTATGTTGAACTTACCTGAGAAAATAATTGAGCATTTTTAGGCACCAAATCCTTAGTGTCTTTGTTGCAAGAAAAAAAAAGTTAGAATGAGCTTAAGGAGGCTTGATTGATTTGACTTATAAACAATAAAAGTTTTTAACTATAAAGATGTAATAACAAGTCCAGATTTGGTGGAGTTCTAGCTATTCTGTATTTCTAAAATAATAAAGACCTCAAATGAAGAGACTCCTTTGAAGCCTGGATCTTTTCACTAGCGGAGCCTGGCTTATTTGGCATATCAAAGTTAATAAAGTCTTACATCTCGTCGTCTGTTTCTTTATTTGTTCTTCATCTCTTGACTTTAATAAAGTTATAACCACAGGTAGGTTAAATAACATCTGTATGCAATATGGATTGTCTGCACAATCCTAACAAGACATTTTTTAATAGTTCTGCAAAAGATAATTTAACCTCTCGTGAGAAAAAAAGGAAGAAGCAGTCAGGAGAAATTATAGTTCATTAAAGCAGTGAAATGAATATTCTCAAAGGAGTTTAAGTAAACTTCCTAAGATGACAGAAAGGAGAGGGTAGTTATTTTGTTTTCCTGAAAATGATTTGGCAAACACGACAACCCTTTGAAGACCTGCTTGGAACTTAGGCCATGAGAAGAATTAGATTTGTGAAAGTTGGGGTCAGAAGTTCTGGAAAGAGTCAGGCATAGTGGTGTGCATCTCTAGTCCCAGTTACCTGGGAGGTTGAGGCAGGAGGATTGATTGAGCCTAGAAATTTAAGGCCAGCCTGGGCAACATAGCAAGATCTCATCACAAAAACAAACAGAAGTTCTGGGAGTGATATTTTCCCTTCAATATTTATTTATTCATTGGTTCCAGGGATTGAACCCAGGGGTGCTTAGCCACTGAGTCACATCCCCAGCCTGTTTTTTATTTATTTATTTATTTATTTATTTATTTATTTATTTATTTATTTATTGAGACAGCGTCTCACTAACTTGCTAAGGGCCTCGCTAAGTTGCTGAGCCTGACTTTGAACTTGTGATCTCTTGCCTCTCAAGCTGCTGGGATTACAGGTGTGCACCACCATGCCTGGCTCTCTTCATATTATTCAGACATTACCTATGTAAATATTTTTGGTAAAAAGCACAATGAAATACATTTTTCCTGTCTCATGATGATTTGAAGGGGACCTGTCCTTCTTGTGTGGCTGTCACCCCCATCCTCATCACTACTGCAAAATGAAAGTATAGGCCAGCATGGCTAGCTTCCTTCCCTGGAGCTAGGGGACAGCTGAGTTTGCTCTGTTAGCAGTGGGATGAGTGAATTTGTTTTGGACCCCAAAAGAAACTGGCAGCATATACCCCAGCTCCTTCTGAATATGGACCTCTACTCCATTTCCAGAAAGACATCACAGGACACAGGTAATTTATGAAGAGCTCAACTGTGTGCCACCTGTAGCTCACTGCTGGTGACTGCCTCTTTGCACCAAGATATCTCTTCTTCAGGACCTACAATAGTTTTTTTTTTTTTTCTAAGTGATGCATATGACAAGGAAGAGAGGGTTTCCCCTTTGCTCCAGCTAAAGACTCAAAGAGAGAGGAGATTGAAGGCCCCTGTCCCTTAATTCTGCCCCAAATGTTAATGGTGCTGACCTGCCTGTCTCTACCTCCTAGGTTAGAGGCAGAGAGGGTACAGAAGACAAGAACATTATCATTACTAGCTAGTTTTCTTTCCTCCATTTATCCAGCAGATTTTAAGTAGAGCATTTTAAATGTCATTAACAATTCCAGCTTGGTTACTTTATTTAAAAAGCTTTGTCTTCTTTGATTTTTAACGCAAAAAAAATTCTCTATTTTAGCTGGTTCTTCTCATTCAAAAAAATCAACTGGCTCCAAAGCATCAGCCTCACCATCTACTTCATCCACCTCTTCTCGTCCCAAAACTTCTAAGGAGACAGTTAGTAGCAAAACAGGGACAGTGGGGACCACAAAGGGCAAGAAAAAAGCCGTCAAGCAGCCGGTGACTTCTCGACTGTCCTCAGATGCCACCGCTGGTACATCTGACCTTAAAGGAGAGCCTTCGGAGACTGGAGTGGAGAGTGCCACACCTGAGCAGACTGTCCCTGGGGCAGAGGAGCAGACCGTAGGCAAATCCAAGCCTACAGTTTCTCCACCCCTGGTGGCTCCTCCACCCTCCCCGCCTGCCCCTCCTCTGCTTCTCGAAGATCAGTGCATTGTTGCCTCAGATGCTCCAGTTGTCCTGGTCAGCAGTGGCGCTGACCTGCCTGTCTCTGCCTTAGACCCGAGTCAGCTCCTTTGGACTGAAGAGCCGACCAACAGAACCACTCTCCACTCGGGCGCTGGTTTAAGTGTTAGCCGAGAAAATGTAAAATGGTAAGTTCGGGTGCCAACCCCGTGATGCATCTGAATGTTAAACATCAGTCAAGAAGTCAGGAATGATGGTGCACACCCATAATCCCAGAGGCTCTGGAGGCTGAGGCAGGAGGATCATGAGTTGAAATAGAGCCTCAGCAACTTAGTGAGACCCTAAGCAACTTTGTGAGACCCTGTCTCTAAATAAAATACAAAAAGGGCTGGAGATGTGGCTCAGTGGATAAGTACCCCTGGGTTTAATCCCAAGTAGAAAGAAAGAAAGAAAGAAAGAAAGAAAGAAAAGATCAGTGAAGTATTGTGTTAGAATGGAGGAGCCCTCCCTCTGTCATGTACTCTGGTGAACATTAGGTGAGCTCACTTTTGGCCACTGGTTTTTCTTAACCCTGCCCTGGGGATGCCATGAGCTGTGGAGACAATCACATTGATAATGGTGACAAACACCAATTCTGTGATTTTCAAATGCATTCAGAGCACAGCTCGGCAGCCTTTTTTCTTGTCCCTAGACAGTTCCCTTCTCTTTTCTATGCTTATTTTAAATCTTTCTCACTTGGGTCCAGATTGCTCACCCACTCCTGCCCATCTTCATTTAGTTAAGTTATGTAGCCTTATTCTCTAAGAAAACTAAGACTGTCAGGAAAGAACTCTAAAATTCCAACTCGTTTTCTCCCAACTAGTGGCCCCCATCCTTACTCACTTACCTCCCCACCCAGCTGAGATTTCATCTTCTCTGTGAAGCTTTCCCATGCTTCTAGACAGAAGTGCTTGTTGCATCTTCCATACTCAGAAACCCCTCTTTCCTGACATGTGGGACAGAACAAGCTAACATCTTATGTACCTCTGTGTCCCCAGCAGGCAGTATAGAGTGGAGTGTTCTGTGGGCACTAGGAATGTTCACTGATTTTTTAATAAAAATGAAGAAGTGGGCTAAGGAGATTGGTTATAGGGAACATCAGCCTACTCCAGTATGGTGGAGTGGTGTCAAAGATGAGATGGCCCTGAGGCTAGAGTTGATAAGCAGATGATAACCAAAGTTAAAAAGACCGTGGTCCAGTAGTCTTTCCTTCACTGAGGAAGGTTACCATGCAAAACAGGCCAATGGACATAAGCCTTGGTGGATTAGTGGCCCCACCATTATCTAGTCACCCAATCCAGAAACCTGGGGTTCAGCCTAGGCCCTCAGGATCCTTTCTTTATTCATCACATCTGATCACTCACAAAGTCCTGTAAATATTCTACTCAAAGGTAAGTAAAACAGTTTATCCCTCCTGTCACACAGGTCGGAAGAGAGGGCTATCAGTGTGTAGTTGATTCAATCATCAATTCTGTCTAGGGAAGGCTCAGAACTCTCATGTCTAATATCTTCTTTTCAGTTTCTAAGAATAAAACCTATAATCAGTTTTAAAATGTTTTAATAGGGTCTCTTTCAAAAAAAAAATCTTTGTCATGTTAGACTATTTAAAAAATTACTGCATTAATTAGGTTGGTTTTGATCAAGCCACCAAAGTATCAACTTTATTTAATTGCTGATAGTAATGATTTTCATTTTACTGAATTATTAATGTCAGGAACTAAGCACTGTATATTTATCATCATTTAATTCCTGTAAATCTTCCCTGAAGTATTTATTTCCTATTTTATCTATAAGAATATTGATATTGAGAGAAGTAAACTAGTTTGCGCAGGATCACCCAGTTAATAGTGGCAAAGCCAGAATACAAACGTAGCACCGCCCACCAAATTCTAGGCTTTGAAGAATTTCACAAGTTTTCCAAAATAGTTGCTTTTCCTTCTACTGCTATTTCTTTCCTAATATATTCTTATTTCTTTATTTTCATCATTTTGTGTAGTATAATTTGAAGGAAAGATAAATAAAGATCCAATTACAAATTATTTATCTGACATTTTAAAGCAATACAGGGAAGATATTGAAAGGAAATGAAATGGTTATGGTTAGTGTGTTTTGGGCTACTATAACAGAATACCTGAGATGGGGTAGTTTATAATGAACAGAAATGTATTGATTCTCAGTCTAGAGGCTGGAAATTTCAAGATCAAGTTTCCAACATTTGGCAAAGGCCTTTTCTCTGCATCATCACATGGCAAAAGGTGGAAGGTCAAGCGCTCAAGAGCAAACCCTCTCCCTCAAGCCATTTTTGTAATGGTAATAATCTCTTCATTGGGGCTTTGTCCTTATGATTCAGGTACCCGCCATGAGGCCTTATCTTCCAATGCTGTCATCTGCAGGGTTAAATTTTTAAGATATGAATTCTGGGGGACCCATTCAAACCAGAGAAGTGTTCTTAATAGTTCCAGCACATAGCAAATGACTTCCTTTAATTGTAGTGAGTGTTTTTTTTTTTTAAATATTGCTGTTATTTCCAATCTTAATACTGAACTTTATTCTTTCAGCATAGTTTTGGTTGGTCTTCTCTGTGTTGGGCAATGTACTACGCACCAGACATATAAAAGTGACCCAAACATGAGTAATTTTTATCAAAATATTGACTAGTGAGCCCAGGGAGTATAAATATTTCACACAACTTCTGAATTTTGGAAAAATAGATTGAACATATATGCCTTAATATACTGAAGAACAAGATATAAATCATATAAAATCTCCTTAGATAGTCTTAAGCATTCAGAAAGCCCATTTCCAAGAGTGACCTGACTTCCAGATCATTTTCACAAACATTTCGGGAGTGCACTTAACTGTACTGAGCTCTGTACTATGTGCCAGAGTTTAACATCTGTCTTTAGCCTGAGTATGTGAAGATCTATCAGACAAAGGATCAGTTTCTATTTCTCCTAACACTAAATCAGAAGGAGCAGACTTAGAGTATCATTAGACAGTGAGGATATTTGTAATAGATGTCCTACCCATCAGGGTAACTCTAACAAATTCCTAGAAGAACTCAAAGAGATTTTCTTCTCTATATGTTCCTCAAAGAAAAAAAAATTAAATTATAATTCATCCTATAGGGGTGGTTTGTGTTTGCTCTTGAATTAATGAATTTGGAGTAGGTAGTGTCTCAGATTTTCTTCCAAATTCTTCCCGTTTCAAGTGGATATTTGAATTAGAATTTTTGGCTCTTAGTCACCTGCTTTTCTTAGAACTCTCCTTGAGTTATATTTAGTCACCTAATGTGTGAAAATCCTGTCATTTTATGAAAAGACTTCTGTGTGGAATACAAATATCAGAACTTTAAAGAGGGCAAGTGGTATGTATAAAAATACCTCTTTCTATCCCATATTGCAGGGTGCTAACTATTTGGTAGGTTTCCATTCATTGGCAGCTTCATCAGTAACATACAAGTCTTACATTACATGAAGCAGAAACTAATCAACCCATTTTGAGGCCTTGTTCAAAGGTGACTTGTTGAGTCCATTCCACATTCGTGGCATGCACTATATTGTCCAGTGTGCCCAGGAACCAAAGGGGAAAAACATGAGCGCCAAGACATGAGTTAATTGACATAGATTAGAAGCATATTTAATGTGAAATATAACTTATAGCATTAATATAATTTTTTTTTCTTTTGGTTTGGTACTGGGGATTGAACTGAGGGGCACTTGACTACTGAGCGACATCCTCAGCCCTTTTAATTTTTTTATTTTGAAACAGGGTCTCACTAAGTTGCTGTGGTTGGCCTTGAATTTGCAATCTTTCTACCTTAGTTTCCTGAGTGGCTGGAATTACAGGCATGCACCATTGTGCCTGGCTAATATAATAATGTAAAATAAAATATAACAATTAATAAATAGATTTAAGAGTCTTTAGGTTCTAGCCTGGACTTGCTATCTTGATTAAGGTTCTCACTCATGGCCTTCCTTGGATCCATGAACTATAAATTACCTGCCCTCCTTATAATGTAGAACACTTGTAAGTTGTAAATATTTCTGAATTACTTGCAAACTACAAAATATATTATAAAATACAAATGGTGAGATTAAAATAATAATGTCCTAATAAGTTAGCAAACTCACACACAAACAAATAACAAGACTCGACTCAGAAACATGTTTTGTTCTGCTGTATCTAGAAGGTGTTATTACATGTATCTTTTAAACATGCTGTGGTCACCTATAATGGCAGTCTCTGCAAACAAAAATGGCTTCCAGTGGCAATGAACTAAGCATCCAGACTGAAAGTTTTCCCACAAAAATTAGTCTTCTCTCATTTGAGATGAGACTTCCTGCTGTAGCCAGCAGTATAACGGTTCTTCAAAAAATTAAACATACCATTACACTATAATTCTGCAATTCCCCTTCTGTGTGTAAAGCCAAAAAAATTGAAAGCAGGGAATTGATTTTTTGTACCAGTGTTCCCAGTAGCCTCAGCCAAAACGTGGACACAATCCAGATGTCCATTGACAGATGAACAGATAAACAAAATGTGGTGTATACATTCCATGGCATATCATCCAGCCTTAAGGAGGAAAGGAATTCTGACACATGCTGTGATAGGAAAGAACCTCGCAAATCGAACACAAAAGAACACACACCATGTAATTTCACTTGTATGAGGTACTTAAAATAGTTGAGTCATGAAGTCACAAAGTGAAATGGTGGTCGCCCAGGGCTGTCAATAGTGGGAATGGGGAGTAATTATCTAATGGATACAGAGTTTCAATCTGGGGAGATGAAAACAGTCTGGAGATGATTACACGATTATTAGGTATGTGTATCGAATGCCACTGAACTGCACACTTAAAAGTGTTTAAAATGGTATGTTTTATGTTATATATATTTTACAGAATAAAAAATTAGATTTCATGTATCTCTTCTTTGAGAACAAGAATTTAGGCTGCTGGATTTTCCTAGTTAAAAATAGAAAATCTTGGAAGTGCTTAGGTTTATAACCACAAAGTAGAATTTTAAATACCTCATGTTCTGAAAAAGTTTACCTGTATTCGTTATTCAAAGCACTTTTTCTTTTGGGTTTTTTTTTTTTTTTTTTTTTTTTTTTTTTAGTCAGTGAGAACAGCAAACACATGTTTTCTACTAAATAGTCTTTCAGAAGTGTGACATCCAAATACAGATTCTTCTATTTATATCAGAAAGCAACTTGGGGAATCTTCTGTATCTTAAAATGACAACTGTATTTTTTTTTTGCATGAAATATTTTTGATGTTGAGTATATTTCTTACTTTTATATATTTGTAGTAACTCTTTAAACCAGAGACTCTTACCTCACTAATTAACAGGAAATTATCACTTCCCTGAACATCATCTCTCTTCTGAAGAGTTCATTTAACTTCATATCCTCCATCTGATTATTACTCTAGTCCTGGGAGAAGCAGTTTTACCAATGAAGGAATGAAAGCACAAATAGGATAAAGGATTTTTGAACCTTGACACACTGGCTGGGACGAAAATGGGGTTTATTCACCTATTCATGAAAGAAGATGTACTTTCCTCTACTACTACTCTTCTGGGTGCTGTGGTGCACACAGTTACATGTCCCACTTGTTGAGTGAGGACCATGTGGAGGTGGACTGGGGGTTGGTCCAGGTGCAGTGTGTTAAGGTGACTACCTTAAGAGCAGATGAGCAGGGCAAAGAACTCAACAGACTCAAAAAGTTTTTTGAAGATGCTGAGGCTTTAACTGAGACTCACAGGTCAAACAAAGTGCAGACAAAAAGTCAAATAATTGAGGAGCTTCTAGCCCATTATTCTTTGCATTGTGTCACCATTACTATGGAAACATCAATTAGCAAGATATAGTTTTACCTTATTCATTTTTACTCCCCCACCCCACCCCTTGGTATCAGGAATTGAACCCAGGGGTGCCTAACCACTGAGCCACATTCCCATCCTTTTTTTTTCTTTTCTTTTTATAAGACAGGGTATCCTAAGATGCTTAGGGCCTCACTAAGTTGCTGAGGTGGGCTTTGAACTTACCATCCTCTCGCCTCAGCCTCCCAAGTTGCTCGTATTACAGGTGTGCACCACCGCACCTGGCTACCTTGCTCATTTACTAAATATTAGACACCATCCTGTGAAGCTGTTTAGTTTTGCAGATGCAGAATGTAAGACCTGGAGAATTGAGTAAGCCAGCACTCACTACTCTTCCATGTCAGTGACGTTAGCTGCCCCAGCTCTGGTTTCTCCTCTCCCCAGTCTAAAGGAGACCCATGATAGATACTAGAGCTCCTTTCATGGAGTTGGTGTCCCCAGGGTTGCTCTGAACTTTGAGTCACCTCTGTTTTTTTTGTGCTCTAAACAGTTTTACAACCAAAGACGAGCTGGGGAAGGTGGACACTCAGCTGCTGACCCCTGAGCTGATGGAAGACTTTTCAGAGTCCTTCAGTGCTCCAGAGGACGAAGGCCCAAGGGAGTACCAGGCCAACGACTCCGACTCTGATGGGCCCATCTTGTATACCGATGATGACGAGGAAGAGGATGAGGATGAGGATGGCAGCGGAGAAAGTAAGACTATTTTCAAGAGATAGGGAGGATAGCAGATGGTAAACAGTGGCTGTGTGTTGGAATGAGCAAGAACTTGATTAGCAGCCAGACACCCCAAGACTTCATTCCCCTTATCTTCCTTTCTCAAGCTAGAAACATACTTTAGCTGGTGAGGTCCAGCTAAATTTTAAAAAAGACAACAGGGGTGGATCAGGCTTTGATTAAATTATGAAGTAAACATGCATGTTAGTATCTGTATATAAAAAAATTAAAAAGATGCAAAGCTTTCTAATGGCAGAGACCTTTTTCAGAAAGACCAAACATGGCCCTTCTACCATGGGACCATTCTTGAAGATAGAGAATCAAGGCGGGGGATTCACTGGCTTACCCTGGGAAAGTGTTAGAGAATTTCACTCATTTTATGCTGCAGTTTACTGAGAGAGGAGGAAAGAATGAATCAGGAATGACAAATATCTTTTTTAGAATTAAAAAAAAAAACATCACTCATCCACCATAGGTACAACTGTGAACCTTCTAAGAAGAAATGACACCACAGTGGAGCAAAGCCTACCATTTATGTGTTACTTGGAGAAGTGGAATGTGCTGTTTTTTTATTTCCCCTTAGCTTTTGAGCAGGATGGCTTGAGGGGAATTCACTGTGAAATTTAATTTATAGATTATAAATACTTATTATTCTATTCATGACTAAACAGAAGTGTGTCGAATTCCCTCTAATTTGTACAGAGAAAAAAAAAAAATTGTTACCCACCTGGTGTGAGCTATCATCTGCTGAGATTTTTCAGGGGCCCCTGGGTAACGGAGGGTTAAAATATTTGTATAAATGGTAGACTCTGCCAGCATCATGTCTGAGTGGAGGAAGGAAGGAGACAAGGATTAACTGTACAGTATGAGGAGAGGGGATAAGTTTCAAAACTTGAAAAGAAAGAAAAAGCATTGTGCAATCAGTAATTTCCATGATCCACCATATCAGCAAAATAAATTCCAACTATCTCTTTCCAAATAATGAGGTGACATGTCCAAGTTTTTTCATGGTGTCCCAATATTTTTCAGAACATTTAAAAAAAAAATAGTCTTCAGTTCTTTCAAACTGAACTACATCCAACTCAAAATCCTCTCTTCCTTAGGTTAATTAAGATTCCCCTCTTGCATGTGGATAAAGAATTTGGCCTGGACCCTGTTGAACGCCCACGCCACATGTAACCTGAGTGCTACAGGCTAAAACGCACTTTATCTGCATCTATGCTCTTTTTCAATCAATCCTCAGGTGCTTTGGCGAGTAAGATACGACGAAGGGACACTCTTGCCATCAAACTTGGCAACAGGCCATCCAAGAAAGAACTAGAAGACAAAAACATCCTGCAGCGCACATCTGAAGAAGAGAGGCAGGAACTCCGACATCAGATCGGAACCAAGCTCGTCAGGTAGTTGCCCAGGTCCTCATGCAGCTGGGACTGGCTCATACTGGTCTTCCTCCCTGAGTTTCTTACCTGATTGGGGCCATTGTGGCTTTCTTGTGTACAGGCACACTTGGCCCTCAGGCCTTGGCAAGTTGGTCTTGGAGAGCAAACCACTCAGAACCTGCCTTTTAGTTAGCCAGCCAGTGGCTTTGAGGTCATCAACCATAACTTTGAGGACCAGTTAGTGAATATTTTAGTCTCTGCTGGCCAGACAGTCTGTGTTGTAGCTACTCAACTGTGCTATTGTAATAGGAAAGCAGACATAAAAAAAAAAAAAAACATATAAATGAATGAGTGGGGACATGTTTAAAAAAAAACTTTATTTACTAAATATGGTGGCCCACAGGATTGGGCCTGTGGACCACAGTTTGCCCAATCCTGGCCTACTCCATGGATGCACTGGCATTTCTCTGAGTGTCCTGAGGTTCTGCCCCGTGTGCTGTGAGACTGTAGCAATGTTAGCCTCAATGTCCTGGCTTTATCTAGGTTGAGTAACCGTTGCCCCCACATCTCAACTTCCCCCTTTTAACTCCCAATAAGTGGGTCATCTGATATCTCTTTCTGCCTCCTGCCATTGTGTAGGACTTCCGCTTTTGCCACAAGTGACTTTAGAAGTCCATTTACCTGGCAGTTTTAATTCAAGCCAATGCTCTCATTTTTTATTCTGTTGAAGCACATTTAAGAGCTGACTTCTGTCCCTCTGCGTAACTATCAGGGTGCATAGGGAGGAGAAGGGAACCATCTGGAATACCAGAGCAGGGTTTGGAGGTGGGAGAAAGCTGCTGTCCTGGTTTGGAAGTGGACACTGCAGCACTGGAGAGCTGGCATGAGGTCTTCTGGAGGCCAGTGGCTGTTCCTCTGCGAGATCTTGCTGTGGTAAGACACGAGAATTTCAGAGGCAGCTGTGGTGCCCACCTGAAGGAAAGGCGCAGTCTCCCAGGGAATCTCGAAGAGGCCTGAAGGTCCCTCTGCTCTGAGACACCTCCCGACCTCCAGGACTTTGGAAGCCGTTCAGAGTAGTTTACTGATGGATGATCTGTTTCTCACTCTAGTCTTTTCATTTCAACCGTAAACTTTGACCATTTCCTACTTCAGGAAAGAGCTAGCCAAGCTAAAAGAAAACTAAAGGGATCTGCAGCATCAAGCTGGACAGACTTTACCTTCAGACTTGTCATCTTACTGAGTAAACACAGGGGCCTCTCTGAGGCCTGGGAGATTAAGGAAATTTCTGAAAGACTTGCAGTTATTTAATAGAAGGACAAGGGTTAGAATTTCTGTTCCTCAATTCTCTGCCCAATCTGCTTTCTTATATATACTCTCCTATTTTGTACTTATTGCACCATGTAAGAGAATATGCTTCTAGGTTTTCTGAGTATTTGTTTTATTGCCTTTGTTTATGTTTGGCCATGAAGAAGAATTTAAAGAACAATATTTGCATGTAAGAATAATGCAAACTCATGCATTTTCCTTAAAAATAAAAAATATCATGACAGCTTATCATAGTAAGGGGTAAGAAAGCAAAATATTATATGTTCATCTCAGTAAGCATCTGAAAATTTTAAAATTTTAAAGATAATTTTGTGTTAAAAATCCTAAATAAATCAGAAGTATAGGGTTTTTTCCCCAAATTATTGCTCAATATTTTAGTATATGGAGAAACTATAAAATTATTTTCTTTAAAAATAGAAGCAAACAAAAACTCCCTGCTCTTCTTATACTACAAGACTAGTGCCAATCATTTCTAATGAAAAGAAAGTTTAAATTATAAGAAATACTGTTATACTTCATTATATACCTATAAAACTGAAAAACTACCAAAACTTTTTTACATCATAATTTCAACAAGTTCACAGATGTAAGATTAATCTGTGAAAATCAACGTTATATCTGTATTATTATTGACACATAGCAAGAGAATCAAATGAATAAGGAAAATTACACTCACAATAGTAGCAACAAGTACATTTTAAATACTCAGCTACTCATTTAACCTGAGGCCCAAAAAAATCTACCTCCAGAAAATCATAATGGAAGGAATTAATAAATGGAGAGAGAAAGAGTAAACATTTTTATCAGTGAGGAAAATTTAGTGGACTGGTTGATCAGGAGTGTAGGTGGCATGAAGTATCATAGGACTGTATTTATCACCTGAGGATTGATAAAGTACATGTACTTGACAGAATCAGGACATCAATAAAGTATTCGTTCCACAAAATGAAACCAAACAGGAATAAATGTCACCTCTCCCAACGTGGGCCAAAGAAAAATCATCTACAGAGACAAGATGAGGTGTCCTCCACTCAGGTTTTGGAAGATGTTCAAGGCTGTGATAAACTTAATAAGAACCACTGTGAGATGTGTCTGTTCGTATCAGAGTGTGTGGGCTGGGGATGCAGCCAGTGGTAAAGCACTTGGCTAGTGTGCAGAAGGCCCTCGGTTTGATCCCCAACATAAAAAAATAAAAGAAAGGAAAAGGAAGAAATACCAGGGTGTGGACTTATTTAGAACTTATTTTAAAATACTTGCAGAAACTCAGTATGGAAAACAAGGAAAGAGCCCCTGCTTGGATCCACTCCTAAAACAAGTGACTATCCCGGGAGCTTGCAAGGATTTAGATAAAATGATACACTTAAGGCTCTTTAGTGCCTGGATCAGTAAGGGCTCAACAAAATTTAATGTTTCTCATTATAAACTTAAATTATTATACATCTATTAAACTAGTAAAGCACATTTAAAACTAAACTCAATGTTGGCAAGTTTATAGAGAAATAGGACACACGTACATTCTTGCTCAGTATTTTTGAAGAATAGTTTCACAGTATGATAAGAGAATTATAAATCAGTCTAATTTCTTTGCATGGTAATTCTATTTGGAGATATATATATATAAAGGAAATATTCCAGAAGGACTTTTTAAAACCATGTTTATAAAGATACTTACTACAAGCTTACTTATATACCAATGACAAAACAAGCCAAGTGCTCAAAAATGAAGTACTGATAAAAAATATTGTGAAAAATTGACCCCATGCAATCCCATAGAGCATCGTTTCATCAAGGATTCCTGGAGGTATGGGAGCCTGGAAATGGAGGTGTGTATTTGTGGTGGATGGACGAAAGCTTCCCATCCCAGGTCTAGTTATCCAGTGGAGACAGTACCTCTTGCTTTTGTGAATTAGGACTCACTACAACCCCCAAAATTCAAATTCCTTTGTAAACAAACACAAAGACTGTATGTATACAAACTTTTAGTGGAGTAGAATGTCTGCCATTATTAACATGTAAATTTTACAGAATTGTTTCCCAACACACACAGCACATCTAATCCCTGTCATTCAAAGATAACTCACCCACAGGTCCAGCCTTAGGGAACAGACATCAAAATCAAAGGCCACAGATGGAAATCCTGACTCTAGTGTTCACTAGGCAAGTTAATTGATATCTCATTTCCTCATCTATAAAGTAGGAGTTGGCTGCTACCTTGCTAAATCGTTGTGAGGACTCTTGATAGTATACGTTAAGCACCTATCATAATACCTGGGACTTTAAAAGTTTGAATAAAAGGTAACTGTGATTGTCTTTATGATTTACTGTTTTCATGGATGTATAGTCTTGAGTAACCATTGTGTGGGGGGAAAGAATCAGGAAGCTTTAATTCTTACAGGACAGGACAAACACCTACCTTCAGGAGACTGATTTAACCATTTGCAGGGTTTTAGTAGCTGGAGAAGGAAAGAAAGGCATTGGGGAAGGAGGAAACAAGCTTAAGTACAAGAGGGGTGATACAGGTGTGGTTGGATACAGAGCCCAATATACTGGTAGCACAGGACACATGGGTAGGAGGGGAGCATGAAATATAGTGCAGTGATGTCCCCTGGGTTCTTTTGTGGGTTCAGTTACTCAACTTAGTTTCAAGGTAGCTCTGATAAAGATTAGATTTTAACAAAAATTTTAATCACACATTTAAAATGTCACTAATCTCATTTATTCATTGCATTTCTATGAGAGTCATAACATTTCAAATTAGTCATATATTATAGTAAAATTACCTTTCAAATATATTAGTCTAAGTTGTACAAACTTAACCTACATCCTGAGGAAGTTTTTTCCTTACTAACAACAAATTAATCATAGGAATAAGACTGAGAACAAGGGATTTATGAGGATATACTGCTCTCATGTACAAATAGATAACTCCTAATCCCAAATGAGCCTTGGTTATCTTAAAGGCAGAGGAGAAGGAACAATATATCTTGAAGATCACATTATATGTAAATATTCATTTGAGGTCCCGAAAGCAGCATTTCACTTAAACCCCTGTGCAGCATAGATTAAGTGATTTCTAAATGGGCATGAACGCTTGAACAGCAGCTAATTTTTAGACTTGAATGACCGCATGTTAATTAGGCTGTCAGCTAAACTCCTGTGGGAGACCAAAAAGTACAGTGGTTCTAACAAGGCTTCACCTAACTGTCCGGCCACGCATCATGGCTGGGAATCATGGCTCCCAAAGACTAGCACCCAGATTCATTCTGTTTCATTGATCTCCTGTCCCCTTGGACAGTTTCCTCTGCATGCTCAAAGCTAGATTACACCACCATGTTTTATGTTCTAGCCTGTAGAAGAGGGAAAGAGAAAGAAGGGAACACACTCAGTCATTTTAAGGGTAAAAAGAAGAACTTACATCATCTGGCTCACACTCCATAGCAGAATTCAACACTCCACGGCAGAATTCAAATCACATCCCCACACTTGGCTGCAGTCCAGGAGACTGAGGTCTGCAGCCAGGTACGCAGCTAAAACTTAGGAAGTTCTGTTCGTCAGAGGAAGACAGAATGGATAATGGGGGTAGTTATCAGTGTCAGCCACAATCTAGGGTCTGTGAACGGGTAAAAAGGACAGCTTTATTTCATAGTTGTGAAAAATGGAAATTTTTAAATGAACCCCACCATTATGTATAACTATAAGGCCTTAATAAAAGCATAACAAAATGGATTTTTTATTTCTCAACTAGTGAAAAAAACAATCTAGCTTTGCTTCATGTTGCATCTCCATTAAAGGAGCCTCATTTGTAACCTGTAGTGTATTCTTCTTGTCATCTAGGAGACTCAGCCAGAGGCCCACAACTGAAGAATTAGAACAAAGAAATATCTTAAGACGTGAGTATCCTCTGCTGTTCAGAAATTCCTTGTGTACTCGTTCTTTAGACCATCCACTTGCAGAAAGGCAACCATCACATATTAGTTTACTACCAACTGACTAGACAGTCTATTTATGTCCCATCTCTATGTAGCTGTTCATGCATTTAAGAAATAATATTTTAATTTTACGTTTCCTTTGATGGCATTGAGTCTGAGAGCCTGCAGGCTGGAATCGTGGCAATAACAATTGTTTTTAAGAAAGATGGAATATATTCCTTATATTCTTCCCACCAAATATTAAGTGGAAGAAGTGCTGTAGTGCACTGGCAAATAACTGTCAAAGAAAAGGCCAAAGAATCCACAAGGAAATGAATCAAGCCTTCCCATCGTACCATTAATAATACAAATTGTTGCTAGGCTTAACAAATTACTTAATTTAAAACAAAAGTTTGGTCAGAGGACTTTTGCAGTGCATTTCATTTTCCTTTGTTGTGATAACTAACTCTGCTTCCCTCTTGAGATATTTATAAAATGTTTCTTGGCCCTTAAAGAGTTCTTCATTCATTTTCCTACTTTATTTTTCCATTTTATTTTTCCTTCTAGTCTCTTTGACAGGATAGTATATGGAACTCTAATAGAAACGAGGTTTGTGCTGCCCTTGTGTATCGATGTACTTACTAACTTCAGAGAGTTCAGAAATGGATAGTTTTAAATGGAGCCTAGACGCAGTTTTATTTACTAACTACAGTTTCTAAAAGCTTTTTATTGTATGAAATATCAAAGAACAGGGATAGATAGAACTCCGGATAGTAGTGCAGTAGTAATGAGCTGCTGTCGAGAGAAAGATCCTTTTCAACCAGGCTTACAGAGTTCTCTTGGCTTGCTGGATGACCTATGCTCTCCAGCCTAAGCTATTTTTTTTTCTGAAGGAAAGATTTTTGTAACATATTTATACTACAGTTGCCATAGCTAAAGCAACCCAACAATAAAGATGTAATATAAGAGGACTACATCCTCCGGTCTATGGAATCTTTTTCTTATGATGCTTTTCTTCTGGTTGTTTGTAAGCATAACTGGAATAGAACCCAAGAAAGGATGTAAGTGCCTATCAGTGTATAGAAGTGTCAGTCTGAAAGAAGAAAAAAAATATGGCTAGAAATGGGTAAATTTGGGGCTGGGGTTGTGGCTGAGTGGTAGAGCACTTGCTTCACGTGGTTAAGGCACTGGGTTTGATCCTCAGCACCACATAAAAATAAACAAATAAAATGAAGGTATTGTGTGTGTGTGTATATATATGTGTGTGTGTGTGTGTGTGCATGTGTTAAAAAAAGAAAAGGATAAATTTGTGTTTTGACCTTTTGGAAGAATGATGAAAACAACATCTAATTTTGACAAAGAAACAAAATCCCAAAGCTTCACTGTTTTCAATAATAGGTTCCTGGGAAGCATTTGTTGAATCAAGTTTTAAATAAACTCAAATGCAGACTGTAAGCTCCTAAAACCCAGAGATTAGGTCTCCCTGGATGCCTGATGCAATACCTAGAAAAGAAAAAAAAAAAAAAGCCAAGAAAATTCTGGGTAATTCTTTCCTGCTCCTGTGAGACTAATGTGCCAAACCACACTGGAGTTTGGTTATTTGAGGAACTGTTTCATGGATCCGGAAATTTATTGCATGTTGATCTTAAGTGCTGTGTTGGCTTAGTACCCTCTGTTTTCCTGGAGGTTCGGGAAAGAGTGAAACACCAAAGTCAACTTCAGATTTGACTCCAGCTCTTTTTGCTTCCTTCTAAGTTCGTGTTGATTCTGGAAACAAAAGGCACATTTCCAGTCTGGAGAGGCTGATAACTGGCTCATGATCTCCTGACACAGGATGCTGTGGCCAAGGGAAGCAGACAAGAACTGGTAGAAGTTCTGTTCACCAGTTTTCCCAAGCTTTCCACTGTAGTCACAGGGACTGAATGGCTTCATTTGCAAAACACTGTGCTCAGCCCATTGCTTCTGGGTTCTTCCACACTGTCTGCTCTTGTTTGTATGTTTTACCCCCCGTTTTCACCTCCAGCAACAATGACCTTCTGTTCCAAGAAAAATCTATGTGTGATATGGTATTGTTTTTAAGACACATATTTTAACTAGGTGCTCTTTTCATGACAGAATAGGAAACTAATTCATAAAACATTCAACATTTCTCAGATCAGAAACCATCACTGCTATAATAAGCATGAGTGAGCTGACAGTAAATGCTGATAGCTTTCATCAGAGTCCACAGGACAAGTTGATTTCTTAGGGTCATGTCCCATTTCACTCCTTCCTTGATTTCTGTCCATCCACTGATCCAGCTATATACATACATATACACATATATATGCCATATATATTACATAGACCAAATTTTTATGTGTATTTGTATATTTCATTTGTTCAAAACACTCCCACGGAAGCATGTATAAAGCAAAAAGAGAAAAAAACCAACAAAAAAAAATGTGGCTTTTTTTTTTAGCTCATTTTGTCTGAATTAATGACTCAAGAATATAACAATACTCCAGTTGCTGGTATTTCTGTACTTTTCTTTCTTCTTTTCTTAGCTCATCCATAAAATGCTCAGGCAACTCCCACTAGCCAGGCAGTTTCCGTAGTGCCCACTGCTCTTAGACCCCAGGCATTGTTTGTGTGTTGATGGGAAATGTTTCCTGTGGCTGTCTGAAGGGTCGGCCCCTCTGCTCTGATGAGAGGTACTGAGAGCAGGATTTATCAATAAGCCCCATCACTTCCTTCATGAATTCCCCTCTGTTTGTTTAAAGTGACCAGGAAAGTTTACATTTTGCTCTACAATTAGTCCTCTGATGAATCAAAGAGTGAAGGAAACATTGCAAAAAACAAGTGACTTTTTAAATACCAAGCTTAAGGCTTAACCCTGACTCTTTACAAGAGATTTTACAGTGATTCTTCAATAAGATGCAGAAGAATGATCTAGTTGGCTTCCCTCCACCTCACCCGCTTCCTCTAATTTCTTTAGAAGTACAATTTCCAACGTGGGAAACGTAAGGAAGCCAGTTCCTGATGTCAGAAAAGAATTCCCAGATGGTAAAATCCTGTTTACTTAATTCCCCAACTGCAACTGGCTTTCTTTAAAAAAAAAAAAAAAATCACTGGCTGTCACCTAGTGGTACAATGGCCTTAACTAATATTCCCTTCCAAGAAATGTCATTTTATGTATTAAATGAAAATCACAGTATGTTAGCTTTGAGGTGTATTAGATTAAAAAAAAAGTCTTTGAAAAGTACCTTAAAAAATATATATAGCATAAGGGCTGGGTAGGAAGAGTTGACTAAAATGTCCTAAGGGTTATATTTTTCTTTTTATTAATAATATTATCAAAGCTCTCACCTTGTAAAACTCTGATTTCAATCACATAAACCATAAGTTTGTCATTTGTCTATGTATAATTGATAGTCCACAAACTTTATCCAATTCATATAAGGTAATCATTTGAACCTATGTTATATTGTAAGAGTAAGTATACATGCTTCACTTCATATATGAAAAACCTTACAGTGTATTCATGGTAAAGAAATTAAATTGTAATCAAACTTGTTTGGTACATACAGGCACTTTATCCATTTTTTGTCCTGTGGGTGATTTCAGTTATATTCAGTTATACTGTCTAAATCACCAGACTGATCATCTTTTTCCTTACAAATTAGTGTTTCAGAAGAATGTAGAAACTTTTTCCTATCTAAAGGAGGAAAATTCATAGAAATACCCTGTTCAGATTGGGGGTATAGCTCAGTGGGTAGAGTACTTGCCTCGTATGCACAAGGCTCTGGGTTCAATCCCAGCACCACCAAAAAAAAAAAAAGAGGGAGAGAGAAAGAATTACCCTGTTCATTTAACAAATATAGATGTTGCAGATATTAAATGCTAATATTTTATTCATGATACAAATAATCTTAATGATGGGAAGTCTATTTGAATTCTTAAAACAAATATAATTAAGGCTGAGGATATATAGCTCAGTTGGTAGAGTGCTTGCCTCACATTCACAAGTCCCTGGGTTCAATCCCTAGCAACACACACGCACACACACACAAATATATATTTTTTTTTTCATAGAAGAGATTTGTCTTCTTCAGCTTTCTAGTTGATTCCTTATACAATGTGACTTTCTTTCCATTGAATTCATGACATCATTTTCTGAAAGATGATCTTTGATAAGCATTAGTATCTAAAAAGTAAAATCTGTGTTTACTTGTCCACCAGAGGATGAGCTCCAGGAAGCAAGAAAGAAGTTCCTTAAATAAGCACCCGATAAAAGCTGAAAGGGTGTTTGTTTCTTTAAAACTTCTGAACTTTTTTTAAAATCCCATCTGTTGGACAGCATTAAGTTGTACTACTTGGTGAAGCACTACAGAAAGAGAAGACTCTGGAAAGTTAAAGTCACAAGAAAATAAATAATTTCTACCCACAGTACACCATAACCCCATTCAGAACATTCTGGTTTGAAAGTAAAGCCCAAAGAAATGCTTACATTCGGCTTCTATGGAAACCAAGGAAGACAGATCAAATATTTTGGTTGGACTTGAATGGAAAGCAGCAGTTCAGACATGCATTGGATGGTTTTAATTTGCTCTTTTAATATGTCTCAGATTTTTTACATAAAGGCCAGATCCAGAAGTAAAGTTTTATCTGAATTCTGGTAAATTGTGCTTTTAAGATGTTCAGCAATAGAAGGCTTTCACCAGATTCTAAGCAGTCTTAGGGATTTTCAGAATAGAACAAGGAATCAGGAAGTAAAAAAAGTTAAAGTTAGTAACAAATCCTGCAAAGGAAAAAGTTATATACACATATATGCATGTGGTGTGTGTGTGTGTGTGTGTGTGTGTGTGTGTCTGTATCTGTGTCTCTGTGTGTGTGTGTCTGTGTGTGATTGATCTTTCTGCAAAATCTTTTGACAACTTTTTAAAGATATCAATGAAGTGTTCAACCAGTATCAGGTAGATTCTAGTAATTGTGGCCTGGTAGACTTTTCTGATTGTAAAATTATCTGTAGTAACTAAGTCATTTTGCCTTTTCCCCCCTTCATAAACAGAAAAGAATGAAGAAGAAGAACAAGAAGCAAAAATGGAACTTAAACGCAGGCTCAGCCGAAAGGTGATGACAGTGTGGCTGCTAATGAGCATTCATGTTGTGGGATATACTTTGTTGTTTGTGTTTTTTTTTTTTTTTAATATATATCCACTTTCTTCAAATCTGATGTTGAGGAATAATTATTCCTATTAGTCTACTAAGTAATTGTAGACACTAAAACCAATGCAATGTATATGAAATGAATTCACTTAAATTTACATGTTAATTTCAAAAAGTTATTAATCAAAGGTTTTTAAATTGCATTTACTATGAAAAAAATATATTGTGTAAAAATTTAAAAATATTTTTAAAATACAAAGAGGAACAAAACACTGTAACTATCATACAAAAATCTGCTGTTCCAAGAACCATTATTAACACATAAATGTATATATTTCCATTTAAAAAATAGTTTTAAAAAATGCTCACACTTTCCATGTCATCTTGGAAATATTAAAAAAGTATTTTGTGACTATGAAGATTTGCCACTATTCCATATCAGAACTGGGTAATTTACTATGTGAGTTTGACTGTCCAACAGTCTGTTTGCCAGTACTGCCCAAATCGACAAATGGCTCTAAAACTCAGAAGATTGTTTCCACTTATTTATGAAAATATAAATCTGATTCCAGAGCCATCACTCTTTTTTTCTGTGTTAAAATAATAGTATTTGGAGAAATTAAGCACTCTCCAAGTATGTATTTCATTATAAATCCTTGTAATAATTCTTCAGATATACTTTTCATACCTGGAAAAGGGCAGGGTGACTAAAATATGGCACCACAGTCAAGTGTGTGGCCTGACCCACATTTTTGAGGGCTGGCTGGGGAGTTCAGAGCAAAAGCATTCTAAGGCGGTTCAGGAAACACTCTACTCCTGTGGAAAAGTTATAGGGACTGGATTTGGAAAGTTTTAGGCTTTTTTTTCCCCTTACAAGAAAATATCCTTAGTTCATTTCTCTGGTTTTTTTTCCCCCTCAAAGCTTCTAAATGTCAAATAGTGCTCAAGCTGAAAGACTCTTTAAATTTAATTTCTAGGGATGATGATGCTAGCATTCAGTGGCCCTTAAGTTACCAGCCACAGACAAGGGGTCACCCCTCTGCATTGCTCTGGGCTCAGTTCTGGAATATATAGAGCCTTTTTTTCAATCCACCTTGGCCCCTCCATGAAGCACCTCCCCACCTTTCCCCACCATACAGTACTCCCTGCCATAGGTTGAAAGTCATCCTGTAAATCCTGGGAGCTACCCCATGACTGGTACAGTTCTCATGGGAAGACTGAGTGGAGAATTTCTGATCTGTGTGGCCACTGACCAGTGGACTTGCATTCTGACCAGTCCTCAGGCACAAGGGTTTCTTTTCCTCCTTATTTTCATCTGCTCTAGAAAGGCAAAAATACTAGCAGTATAGATTATGTGGTGTCTCAGGATGCAACCGCACCACTTTGATTATTCTCTCCTTTATCCATTGCCTGTCAGAGCTACATGAAGACTGGAGCTACAGTTGCTCTATCCCAGCTCCAGTGAGCTCAGGGTGTGGTTCCAGGCCTTCTGGAGTCCTTGAATCCTTGCAGTATTAGAGCTCTAATGCAGTTCCATCCCTGGTTTTTCTCAGGAGGAAACAGGACCAGGAAAGGGCCTGTTTTTTCACTGTAGAGCACAGACACAGTTCACATCCCTGAGCCAAAGCAAGTAAAGAATGTGTCCAAAGAGGAGAGTGTCTGGATATACACAGAGTACATAAAGTGAGGAAAAGTACTGAAAATAAGCCCTTTAAGCATAATAGAGGTCTAAGTCCACCTGTCTGGAAATACTATGAGATATCCAAACTGGAAAAAGCCTCCAAAGGCTTTGACTCTCAATAGCAGAGAGCAGATAATGCCTGTCAACCAAGGGCTAGGTTTCATTCATCCATCAGAATTGTTTTGGTCTTATTCTTGGGATTTTAGAAAGGACCAAGAAAGGACAGTAAATACCCACAGGGTTGGCAAGATTCATCATAATTATAAATTTGAATTGGACAAAGACCATAATGAGGAACTCGGTGATGACCGGAGTCATGAAGGCTGCCGGCAGGGCAGTTCTCCAGCAACACTCCCTCGTCATCTTGAGTGTGGTCTTTATGGCAGGGGATAAATGTCAGCATGAGGGTCCTTCTGTCTAGGGGCTGTGCTGTAGGCAGACCCTTCTCCAGACTGCTCTGTGTCATAGCTTTGTGCATTTCTGAATATATAGGTTTGGTATAGTAGGGGCACAGATTTTTATTCTCATTTCTGAAAGTGTCACCGCTTTTGTCTAGGCTACTCAGCCACCAACCCAGCCATCCTGAAGCTGGGTTACTATCAGGTCTGCATGTTCCTTGTATGGGTGACAGATAAATCTTTATCGCCATGCCAGACAAGTTGAGGGAAATAGTATAATACTCATGTTGTCAAAGATGTGACCTATCTAACGATGACGATTTTTTATAGTCTCAAAAATTAGGGCACACTGCTTTCTAGTTCTCATTACAAATTCCCGAGATGATGCTGCCCTTTTTTTTTTTTTTTGATACCTGAAAGTGACCTTATTTAACCATAACTTTGAAGTGTTCTCTATAGAAAACTTGCCACCATGAAGCAATAAATGGTTTACTGATCTCCACTTTTTCCCTCTTTCCTCCTGCAGCTCAGCCTGAGACCCACAGTGGCAGAGCTACAAGCTCGAAGGATCCTGCGGTTTAACGAGTATGTAGAAGTCACCGATTCTCCCGACTATGACCGCCGGGCAGACAAGCCCTGGGCCAGGTTGACACCTGCAGACAAGGCAAGACTCTCAGTGGTGTTGATGTTGATCACACTGCTTTCCCCAAAGCTCCATATTCACCCCCCTTCCACTTGGTCATCCTAGGGGGCCAGATCTTAACCAGTAGTCCCACAGTTTTCTGTCTCTGATTATTTCAACTGCTTAAATGACATATTTAGTAATAGTAATATAGTTCTTCCAAGTAAATCTCAAGGAAAACTAGTCCTTGGTTACCATATAACCTGTCTTCATTCAAACCTGGATGAACAGGGCTTTCCCAGAACCAGGGTTTATCCTTTCTCTTAGAAAATATAAGTTATTCAATTTATCATTCTAAAGAGATATGTTAACTATGGAAAACTGGCACACTTCTTCTATAAATGGCCAGAGAGTAAATATTTTTGGTTTTCTGGATCATACAATCTTTCTTGCAACTTCTCAGTTCTGCCATTGTAGGATGAGAACAGCCATAGACACTATGTCATTGAATAGATGTGTGTGTATGTTCCAATAAAACTTTATTTACAAAGACAGGGAGCAGACTAGATTCAACCCACCAACCACACCCATGAAATAGCACCTCTTTGTGCTTGGGCTTTGTCCTCTTGCTAATTATTCCTGAAGTTAAACCTATTTTTTGTATGTCTATTGGGCATTAAGATTCCACTTCTGTGAAATGCCTTGTCTTTTGCCAATTTTCTTTTGGGTAGTCAATTTCTTGTTGAGTCACAGAGGATTTTCATGTATTCTAGTTATATATGTTACAAGTAAGTATGTATCTTCTCCCGTTTTTTGATATTTCAACTCTGTTTATGGAATCTTCTGATGAAAAAGGGATGCCTTAAGATGGTTGTTTCAACAGACTTTTTAATGGCTTATGATTTTGTTTCTGAAAATAATGTTTTCTCTCATATATGGAAGCTAGATGAAAATAAGGGAAAAGTGGGGGATCCCATGAAAATAGAGGGGATATCAGTGGAGCATTAAAAGGAGATTGAGGGGGAAGGGAGAGGGATGGGAAAAAAAAACGGTGGAATGAAATTGATCAAATTATGCTAGTGCATATATGAATATTCCACAGTGCATGTCACTTTTATGTGTATTTATAAAACACTTATTTTTAAAAAACTATAAGTAAATAGAAGGAAGATCAGTAGAGTGAAGAAAGGAGGCTAGGGAAGGAGACACACCAGGGACTGAAACAGAACAGATTATATTCCATGCTTGTATGATTATGTCAAAATAAACCCCCAATATTATGTATAACTAAAATGTACTATCAAGAACAAAAAGAATTCTTCCCATTCTAAAATCATAAATATATCCCCCATACTGTCTTCTAGACCTTTATTGATTTGTTTTTCACATTAAATTTCTTGATTTACCTGGAATTAATTTTAGAGGGGAAGGGGTAAGGTGACTTAGCTTTGTTGGTAATCTCTGTTATATTTCTTTTCTAAGTTACAGAAGTCTCCCTATATCTAGGGTTTCAATTGACTAATAATGAAAAATATTAAATGAAAATTTCCATATGTTTTAAATTGTGTACTGTTCCCAAACAGTAGCATAACAAAATCTTGATTTGTCCTGCTACATACCACTACTTCCATCCTGGATGTGAATCATCCCTTTGTCCAACATACCCTTTCTGTATACACCTGTTAGTCACTTAGTAGCCATCTTGGTTACCAAATCCACTGTCAAGGTTCCTCAGTGCTTGTGTTCAGGTAATAGAATAATTATTCTATTTTATTATTAGTTATTGTTTTTAACCTCTAACTATACCCAATTTATCAATTCAACTTTGTTTATCATAGGTACTATGCATAGGAAAAAACAGTATATGTTGGGTTCAGTATCCATGGTTTTAGGCATCCAATGGAGGTCTTGGAACATATCCCCCACAGATAAAGAGAGATTACTGTTTTTGCTCTTTTTTTCCCTTTCTTCTAAATTTTCTGGCTTTATTTAACTTGTTTGTTTCTAACTTAAGTTAGAGACCCTATATAGTAACATTTATCTTTTTTTTTTTTTTTTTTTTGTACTGGGGATTAAACCCAGGAGCATTTAACCACTGAGCCATATCCCCACCCTTTTTATATTGCTAAGGTCTAAGTCTTGCCAAGTTGCTTAAGGCCTCTCTCAGTTGCTGAGGCTGCCTTTGAACTTGGGATCCTCTTGTCTCAGCCTCCTGAGCTGCTGGGATTTCAGGCGTGGCCCACTGCACCTGGCCTTCCTTAATTTTTAAAATAAGCACTGGAGGCTATAAATTACCCTGTATCAGTGGTTTGCCAAGTTGGCTGCATAATGGTATCATCTGGGGAGTTTTAAAAATGTGGATGTATGAGGAAATCCTGATTTAATTTTCCTGGGGTGTGGCCTTATGTATTAGGATTTTTAAAGTATGTGGTCAGTAATTTTAAATGTCTTTATATATCTTTGAAAACAATATGTGTTCCACAGTTCTGGATGTGGTATTCTAAATGTGTCTATAAGATCAAGCTGGTTAGTTATTCAGATTTTTCTATCCTTATTTTTCTGTCTACTTGATCTGTTAATAAGACAAGTTAAACCTCCTACTATTTGGATTTTTCCCCTTTCTCATAATTCTATCAATTTTCATTCCGGCATTCCAGGTGTGTCGTAGGTGTTTAGGATAACTATATTTTCCTTTGTTATGAGACTCTATCTCAAGAAACCTCTTTCATTATAATGTTTGTTTCATTTAACAGTATGTTTTAATGAGATTTTCAAAATGAGTTACATTAGACTACCTTAGGACTGTGAATTCTGGCTGCAAACCTACATGTTGGCTGACATGGATTCAAATTCTCAACTAGCATCTATACTCACACACACCCCTACCTTACTTATTGAACATCTGTGTGCAGTTTTCTTTGCTGTCCTTGGAGTATGCCATCGGTCCCCACTTTATAGAGGGAGGATTATTTATTTGACTCAGGCAGTCTCTTGTCTTCTACATCTCAGCAGGCTGTGAAATGACCTCTCAGGTTCACCACGCTTAATACACCTGCCCTCAAGGTTAAGAACAGTTTCATTGTTTGTCTACTTTATTCTCTGAGCTTCATCATCATTTACCCTTTTTTATCAAAATAGTTTTGGCTGTTTTAGGAGCTCTTGGATGCATTGAAAACATTTTTTTTCCTTTTTTTTTTTTTTTTTTTGTGGTGCTGGGGATTAGAACCCAGGGCCTTCTACATTTGAGGCAAGTACTCTACCAACTGTGCTATATCCCCAGCTGAAGACAATCTTTTAAATGCTACATTTAGCATGTTCTTTTCAATAAGAGGATGAATCAAGGAATCTGGTGTGCTGTTCTGCAAGAAATGGTGTACACCTTTGTGTGTGTTTTTCTTTCATCTGTGGACCTTTGGCTACTCACCCCTCGTTTAGTGGCTTCCAATTGGCCCTGCTCCAGTCACTGTTCCTGTACAAAAAAAATAAATAAATAACCCACTTGAATCAAAGTGTGAAATATGATATATCAAGAACTATGTAATGTTTTGAACAACCAACAATAAAAATTAAAAAAAAAGAAGTATGAACTAATTAAAAAAAAAAAAAAACCTAAACCTAGTGGTTGAAAACAGCAACAATATTGAAACAATATTTCATTGTATTTTTCAGATTTCATAGGTTGAGATTTGGTCAGGGGTCAGTTGGGCAGTTTCTCTGCTTCTCCTGAGGTTGACTGAAGTCACTCCATGTCATTCAGCTGACAGATGGGCTACTCTGGACTGTCTAGGATGGCTTCTCCACTGTGCCTAGTGTTGCGGTGGGGTTGGCTCAGAAACTGGGCTCAGCTGGGGCTGTCCACCAAACTACCTACCTGCACATGTACTCCCACAGTTGCCAGGCTTCTTACTTGGTGGCTGGCTTCCCCCAGAGCCAGTGTTCCAAAGCCAGGTAAGAGCTACCTGGCCTTTTTTGATGCAGCTTTACTTCCACTACATTCTGTTAGTTGTAGTAAAGTCATAAGGCCAGCTCAGATTCAAGGAAAAGGGAATCGGCTCTATCTCTAGACAGGGAAAAGGTAAGATCATGTCACAGAAAAACATGAGCACTGAGGATATTGTTTTATCCATATTTGGAAAATGTAATTTGCTACACCCCCCATTACCAGCTGTCTTATTACTCAAATGCTGAACTCCAGAAAGGCAGGAAGGGCCAGGTAAATGAATAAAAATATCGAAACAGGTGTAAATTGTACAAGCAGTGAGAATCCAAGTGATTAACGACCCTCATATAAAAACTACGCTTTTCATACCCTAGAATAGTTTTTCCTAATGCTGGTTCTGTTATTGGGAGATAAAGCTCATTCATCTCTAACTATAATAGAGAGGACTTTGTAAAAATGTATTGAGACAAAAATATGTTTTTTGTGTCAGACCCCTAGGCTGCAGGGGACATGGGCTTGGTCAGGGTTTCTCCTGCAGGCTTAGTATTTTGAAGGCACAGAACTTTTACATCTCCCCTGCAGATCCAACCCCAAGACCCAGAGCAGAGCCAGAGCCCTTCCCTACTCACAGGGGAGACTCATTTGCTTCTGACATTTCTTGCATTTCCCCTGAGACTTTTTAACGTGTAAAGGACATTTTCAGAACTGGTTTGTGTGTGTGTGTGTGTGTGTGTGTGTGCGCGCGCGTGTGTGTGTCCATGAGTGTTTTCTAGAAGAATTTATTTCAGGTAGAAAAAAATTCTATATTTTTAAATTTCATTTATATAACTTAATATATATTTAATTATATATTGAATATATATTTATATATTTGATTTAATTATATTTTAAATTTATATATATTAATGGTAGAAAATAGAAAAGAATGCAACAATTTAATATGCTGTTAAATCTAGTATGTTATACAAACACAAGTGATTTGTGTTCATTGACAAACATGGGAGTATCCAAAAATTCAAAAAGAAGAGACTAACAATTAAAATGCACATTAGTGTGTGGTATTTTTAAAATTGATGCATTATAATTGTACATAATAGTGGAA